GCGGGCGGCGCGGCCTTCCCGGGCGGCGCGGCCTTCCCGCCCTACCGGCTGGGCTTCGGCGCGGCCGCGGGGCTGGAGCGCGGCGCCTACGAGGCCTACGAGGCCGTGGGCAAGTTCGGCAGCGCGGCGCGCTTCTCCTACACCTCGCAGCACTCGGACTACGGGCAGCGCTTCCAGCAGCGCATGCAGACGCACGTCTAGGGCGGGCGCGGCTCCGCGGGTACCTCACCGGCGCCCCCTGATATTCAGGGGTTCGCCCCGCCATCCCTCCCTGCCCCGGTTCCCCCGGTTTCCTTGGAGCTTCCGTTCATTCCGTTGGTTGTTTTTCCGCCGGTACTTTCCCGCCCCCGCGGGTGGAGGGACGGGGGTGTCACCGCCCTGTCCCCTCCCCGCGTCGCCCCCGCCGGGGTTTGAGCCCTGTCGTCGTTGGGGAGCAGCTCTGCGTGTCCCTAAACCCCGGGGGACGTGCAAATCCCAAAAACAGCCCCGTCCCGAACCATTCCCCTTGGGATCTGTGTGTTCCCAAATCCCGAGGGACACACACGTCCCAAAAAAACCCATCCTGAACCATTCCCATTGGGATCTGTGTTCCCAAATCCAGAGGGACACACACATCCCAAAAAAACCCATCCTGAACCATTCCCATTGGGATCTGTGTTCCCAAATCCAGAGGGACACACACATCCCAAAAAAACCCATCCTGAACCATTCCAATTCCCCAAGCCATTCCCATTCCCATTGGGATCCGTGTTCCCGAATCCAGAGGAACACACAAATCCCAAAACCAGCCTCATCCCAAACCATTCCCATTCCCATTCCCATTCCCATTCCCATTCCCATTGGGATCCATGTTCCCAAATCCAGAGGGACACGAAAATCCCAACACCAGCCCCATCCCAAACCATTCCCATTCTCATTAGGATCCACACATCCCCAAATCCAGAGAGATGTGCAAATCCCAAAACCAGCCCCATCCCAAACCACTGCCATTCCCATTGGGATCCGCATGTTCCCAAACCCAGAGGGACACAGAAATCCCAAAACCAGCCCCATCCCGAACCACTGCCATTGCCATTCCCATCGGGATCAGCGGGAGGGTTCTGCGTGCCCCCAGATCCAGAGGGGACGCACAAACCCCACAACAACGCCCCATCCCGACCCATTCCCATTCCCTGTGCCTTGATTTCGGGGCCCCCCCCGTCAGGGACGGCTGCCCCCGTTCTCCCCATCCCAAATCCCCCTGGAGCGGCGGGAGTTTGGGGTTTGGGAGCAGCCCCCGTTCCGTACGCACACCGCTCCCGCGGGAAAGGCGGCGCTGGGATCCCCCAGTCCCGTCCCGGGGCGACCCCGGAGCTGGGGGTCCCTCCTGTGAATGTAAATCCAGCTGGGAATCGCATTCCCGGGAATCCCGGGAATCCCGGGAAACCGAAACGTCGGGATCAGGAGCTCGGCCGGGCCCCTCTCCCAGGGCCGGGGACTGGGGGGCACCGGGGACCCCGGTTTGGGACTGGGGGTTTGGGGGGGATGAGTTCTGGAGGGAATTCCCAGCCCCAGTTCCCAAATTCCCAAAGGGACCCCAGTTTGGGATTGGGGATTTGGGGGATGAGTTCTGGAGGGAATTCCCAGCCCCAGCTCCCAAATTCCCAAAGGGACCCCGGTTTGGGACTGGGGGTTTGGGGGGGATTGAGCTCTGGGGGGAATTCCCAGCCCCAGCTCCCAAATTCCCAAAGGGACCCCGGTTTGGGATTGGGGATCTGGGGGATGAGTTCTGGAGGGAATTCCTAAAGGGATCCCAATTTGGGATTGGGGATTTGGGGGATGAGTTTTGGAGGGAATTCCCAAATTCCCAAAGGGACCCCGGTTTGGGACTGGGGATTTGGGGGGGATTGAGTTCTGGAGGGAATTCCCAAAGGGATTCCAATTTGGGATTGGGGATTTGGGAGGGATGAGTTTTGGAGGGAATTCCCAGAGGATTCCCAGCCCCAGTTTGGGATTTTGCGGGTGAATTTTGGAGAGAATTCCCAAAGGAGCCCAAATTTGCGATTGGGGATTTTGCAGGTGAATTTTGCAGGGAATTCCCGGTCGATTCCCAAAAAACCCCCGGGATTAGGTACGAGACCCCTCCCCTCCCCTCAAGGGCCCACCCCGGGGTCGGGAGCTTCCCAAAATCCCCCGAATTCCCAAATCCCCCGTTGCCAATCCCGGTACGAGCCCTGGGACCCTCCCCCCTCATTCCCTTCTCCCGAAATTCCCAAAATCCACAAGAAAGGTCCCGTCAGGACGGGCCCAAACCCAAAACCCCCCTTTGGGGATCCCAAAGGTGCCTGAATTGACCCCACAACTCGAGGGGGGAGGGAATTCCCGCTCCAGGTGCTGCCCCCCGGACTCCAGAGCAATATCCCACGGGAAGAGGGGCAGCCCCACCCCGGCCACCGGGAAGCTTTAAAATTCCAACCCCACTTTGGGGCTGGAAAATGGAATTTCCCCCTTTTTTTTTAGCACAGGTTGGTTTAGAGACCCTCCCCCGTTCCTTTCCCCCCCAAATTCCGCGATCTCTCCCCATTCCCATTTTTTTTTATGTTGCATTTTCCTTTTTTTTTTTTAAATATTCTGTACTATATTTTTAGTCTTAAAAAAAAAAAAAAAAAAAAAAAAAACATTTAAGTGGCTCTGAGTTTTCTTTTTATTTTGAGGGGTATTTTACCTAAAAAGGGAGATTTTTGTCATTCCTTAATTGTTTTCCTGGGAGAATTGAGGAATGGATGGAGCGGAATATTTTCCTTTTCCATCCATAATTCCTACAATTCCAGCGTTCTCAAATCCCTGGAGGGGTTTTGGTGGCAACCACAATTCTAAAAAAACCAAACTTCCAGATGAATTCATTCCAGGGATTTATCTGATTTATTCCTGCCTTTATCCCCGTTTATTCCCCGGGAATTTCCCTCACAAATCCTTCGCCTCATCCTTCCTTGCGCCTCCCTTTATACAAAACCCATTTTAATCCAATAATTAAATCAGGATTCCCTCCCGGAATCCGGAATTTGGCTTTTAGAAGGAAAATCCCATTTTTTTCCACGTCCCGCTGGAATTTCACCTTCCAGCCCTTCCCTTCCCCGGCCTGGTGAGCGAACACCACAAATAATAAACACCAATAATAAATACCAATAAATAACGAAGTAAAGCAATTTTATTGGAATTCTCCTTAAACCGCGAGCTGTCGGAAGAGGAAGAGGAGGAATCAGGAGGGACTTTCAAGGATTTTTTCCCCGGCCTGGTGAGCGAACACCACAAATAATAAACACCAATAATAAATACCAATAAATAACGAAGTAAAGCAATTTTATTGGAATTCTCCTTAAACCTGTCGGAAGAGGAGGAATCAGGAGGGATTTTCAAGGATTTGATGTGGAAAAATGGAAACGCGGGATCCACCGTGCCTCAGTTTCCCCGCACGGCTCTTCCAGCGCCCCCAGCCAGGGGACAGCGGGACAGGGGGACAGCGCTGTCCCTCCAAGGCTGGGATGCCATTCCAAGGGGGAATTGGCGAATTCCCGGCCGGAATTCCCGGGGTTTGTCCCCTCTCCCCTCACGAACGCCGCCATGACGCGGCCTAGCCGGGCCCGCAGCGTAGCACCCCCCCCTTCCGCGCCCGCCCCCGGCTGGGCGGGCTCTGAGGGCCGCGTCCCTCAGCCGGGCTATTTATGACCTCGGATTAACCGCGCGCTCTCGCGAGATTTCCGCCCCGCCATAGTGTCGTGGGCGTGGCCTCGCCATGACGTCATCGCCGTGCCATGAGGGGCTTTGGGGGTCCCGGGGGGTTTTGGGGACAAAAATCCCAAAATTCTCCCTTTTCCCCCGCTTGGGCCCTCGGGGAGCAGCCCTGGGGGGGTTTGGGGGGTCCCAAAGGGGGCTTTGAGGGTTCCCCCAATTCTGTGGGGTTTGGGGTCCTCCATTTCTGGATTTGGGATCACATCCCTAATTTTGGGATCACATCCCTGAATTTGGGCTGACATCCCAAGTTTGGAATCCCTCATTCCCTTAATTTTGTGTCCAATCACTGATTTTGGGTCCACATCCCTGAATTCGGGTCAACATCCCTGAATTTGGGATCCCTCATTCCCTGGATTTGGGGTTCCCAGTGCTTGGATTTGGGGTTCCCAATCCCTAAATTTGGGTTCAGGTCTCTAAATTTCGGTTCACATCCCAAGTTTGGAATCCCTCATTCCCTTAATTTGGGGTCCAATCACTGATTTTGGGTTCACATCCCTGGATTTGGGATCCCTCATCCCCTGGATTTGGGGTTCCCGATCCCTAAGTTTGCGTTCCCACTCCTGCATTTGGGGTGCCCAAACCTAAAATCCCTGAAAATTCTGAAAAATTCCTCAAAAATTCCATTAAATCCCTCTAAATTTCCCTTAAAATCCCTGAAAATCCCTTAGAATTCCTGAAAATTCTTTAAAATGCCTTAACATTCCTGAAAAAAAAATCCTTAAAATTCCCGAAAATGCCTCAAAATTCCTGAACCTTCCTTAATTTCCACATGGCAGGATCGCAGGGATGAGGAAATGGGCCTGGAAAGAAATGGGAATTCCTTCAAATTCTTTAAGATTCCTTCAAATTCCTTCATTTGCACGTGAAAGGATCTCCCAGGAGATGATCCAAGGAAACGGGGCTGGAAGAAAAGAGGGAATTCCTAAAAATTCCAGCTTGGGACACTTCAGCTCCGAATTATTCCAGGATTTCCTAAAACCCCGGACATTCCTGGCCTTGGGAATGGCTTTTCCTTCCTGGTTTTTCCAGGTTTTCCTGGCTGTGATCCCAATAAAACCCAAAAAAAAATAAAAATAAAGGAATCCTCACCCCAGTTCCCGGCGTTGTTTCACCTTGGGATCCCTGGATTGTTTTGGAATAAATTCAATTTTCCTTCCAGGAATTCTGAGTTTCCCGGGCCGGGCTTTGCTCCAAGCTCTTCCCTGTCTCCCTCCTGGAATTCCAGAGGTTTCACCGCCTGTCATTAACCCCTCATTAACCCTTAATTGCTGTTAATTAGCGCAGCCCGGGACCCTCATTCCTTTTCCCAGGGTTTTTTTTGGGATGAGAGCGGGGGAAAGGGGAATCCTGGAGGGATCTGGGGCACCAAAATCCGATTTTTTTGGGGACACCTGGCCGCTCCCTTGTCCGTGGGGGGAATTCCTCAAAAAAACAAAAATCCGGGAAAAATCAAAGCTGGGATTAACCCCTTGTGTGCCAAGGGGAGGGAAGGGAAGGGAATTTGGGAAGGGAAGGGAAGGGAAGTCCCCACATTCCCCCCCCAATTCCCAGATTTCCCCCAATTCCCAGATTTCCCCCCATTCCCGTCCCCCCGGCTCTCCCGAGCCCCGCGATGCTCCGCGCCCCGCGGGCTGCGGCTCCGGGGTGGTCGCTCCTCCTTCCTCCCCCTCCTCCTCCTCCTCCTCCTCCTCCTCGCCGCTCCGGCCGCTGACTCCCGCTCCGAGCCGAGCCGGGCCGAGCCAATCCCGGGAAAACAGCCCCGGACCCGGCGGGATGGAGCGGGCGGCGGCGCGGGGGTCGCGGCTGCCCTCGCTGCTCCTGGCGCTGCTGGGGCTCGGCCCAGGTGAGTGGGGGGCGACCCGCGGGACCCCCGGGGGGCTCGGGCCGGGCCCCCGCTCCCTGGAAAGCTCTGGAATTCCGCATCCAGCGGCCCCGGCTCCCCCACGCGGATTTTTTGGGGTTTTTTTTTTTTGGATTGGGGGGGCTGCGATTTATTTTTATTTTTTTTTTCCTCGCCGGGGTCGGGGAGCGGCTCCTTACGTAAAGCCGGGAGCGGGATCCCCCCGGAATTCCCAAAGATTCCAGAATTCCCCTCAATCCCCTCCGGGAGCGTTCCTGCGGGAAAGCGGCCGCTCGGACGGGCGGCGTTAATTACGGGGTTCATTTGCCTCGCTGATTAATTGGCCTGGCGGGGCCGGGCGGGGATGGTGCCGCCAGGTGATGCTCCAAAAAAAACCAGCCCGGAAAGGTGGGAAAAAAATAAATTCCCGGGATTTGGAGCGTGGGAAGCGAGGAGAAGCAGAGCCCGGCTGGGGGGAAGCGCCGCGGGGTTAAAAGCGGGGCTGGAGTTGATTTTGGGGCATTTTCGGAGGTTTGGGGCGGACTGGGAGCAGGGATGGATCCCGCTCTGCCTCCTCCTCCTCTCCGCTGCGGGAGAGCCTCGTGCTCCCAAAAAAACCAAAATCTGGGATAAACAGGCTGAGCCGGGGCGGCGCTTGGCGCGGGAGGGGCCGAGCATCCCCCCCGCTCCTCCCGAATCCCGGGATGGAAAAAGGGGGAAAAATCCCGGGAGAAGCTCAGGGAGCCCCGGGGGGCTGCAGAGGAAATGGGGGGGATGCAGGGGGGGAGCGGGTCTGGGGATTCGGGAGAGGGGTTTGGGATTCCGAGGGGTTTGGGATTCCGGGGGGTTTTGGGATTCCGGGGGGTTTTGGGATTCCGGGGGGTTTTGGGATTCCGGGGGGTTTTGGGATTCCTTCCCCAGCCCCTCCTTGCTCTCAGCGTCCCCCCCTGGTGCTTCACCCCCCGAAAAACTTCACCGAGCGCTCGAAAATCCCCTCGGGTTTAAAGTCGGGCTGGAAAAGCAGGGATGAAACCCAGGGAAAGCAGGAATTAAACCTGGGAAAGCAGGAATTAAACCTAGGAAAGACTGGGAAAAGCAGGAATTAAACCCGGGAAAAGCAGGGATGAAACCCGGGAAAAGCAGGAGTCAAACCCGGGAAAAGCGGGAATAAAACGCAGAAAAAGCAGGAATCAAATCCTGGAAAAGCAGGAATCAATCCCGGGATGAGCAGGGATGAAACTCGGGATGAACAAGGATGAAACTTAGGAAAAGCAGGAATCAAACCTGGGAAAAGCAGGAATTAAACCGGGAAAGCAGGAATCAAACCCGGGAAAAGCAGGAGTCAAACCCGGGAAAAGCAGGAATTAAACCGGGAAAAGCGGGAATTAAACCCGGGAAAAGCAGGAATCAAACCCGGGCCAAACGGGAACTGCACCGAGCGCCGCCCGGGCTGAGCCCCGATTTCATCGGGACAAGGACCGGGAGGGGACACCGGGAATGTCCCGGGCCCGTCCCATCCCCGCTGGCCCCGAAATTCCCGGAATGATTCCCGAATTCCCGAATTCCCGGGATGATTCCCGAATTCCCGGGATGATTCCGAATTCCCGAATTCCCGGGATGATTCCCGAATTCCCGAATTCCCGGTGCCAGGACGCGGGGGTGGCGCAGGTGACAGCTTGGCAGGGGGAGGGCGCTGCCAGGAGCGGGGGAGGCGGCGCCCAGCGCAGTTTTTCCAGGGAAATGCCAAAAAAAATCCCCAAATGGAATCTCAGAACCTTCCCCTGGGCTGGGATCAGGGCCCGGCCCGGGGCGAATCGCCAATCCCAAAATTTTGGGGTTTTATCCCTGCCCGGAGCTGCCCAGCGGCTCCTGGGAGCAGGAATTGGGTAAAATTCTGCCCCAAAAAAACCCAATTTTGCAGAAATTC